TTATCTGACGTGTGTAACTTTGTTACATCTGATCAAAAAGTGAAAGTGAGATTAAAAGAAAAAAAAAATAGTTAAAAGGCACCTTCACAGACTTGTTACCTGAAGTTTAACAAGAATGGATTTAAAAAGTTCTCAGCTGACATATACCATCACTGACACGGTTGTGAGACCTGGACAAAAATTGACTATGAATAGAATTAAAGCAATGAAGATGTGTTTTTTTCTTAAAAAAGAATGCTAAAATCAGCTGGATTAGCCACTTATAAATTGATATACTAGTAGATGTTCTGTTAAAATATGGGGTTCAAGCTGCATTCATTTTAATATTTTAAATTTTTAATACAAATAATCAGAAAACAGTGGTTTCAGATTTTAGCACAGATCTTGTTCCAGTTCGAAGGTCTGAATGTCCACAATAACAGATACTGTAGTGTATGATGTGTAGTGTGTTGTCATTGCAGTTTTATTGGGTTATTTCCTTTGTAGCTTACTGGAGGCGTAGGAATCATTCACCACAATTGCACTCCAGAATTTCAGGCAAATGAAGTTAGACTAGTGAAGGTAAGTAAAATGGGAACATGCTTTTTATAACTTTTGGTTGATACTGTTACAGAAGTGAAATAATGAATGGACACAAAGCGTCCTTTTTCTTGTCATAAGTGATAAGTAGGAACAGTGAAGCATACTTCTTTGGGACTGCGTCTATCAGCTTCTCAACCTTGTTTGAAACTTTTCCTATCTGTGTTGTTATAGATTAACTTTCCTGTTGTACTCTTTAAAACAATACTGGCCCAAAATTGAGAATAAAATTTTAGATCTTCAAAGATGTTCCTACCATGGGCACTGCATGCTTTTGAAAATTAATGGAATTTTCGTATGATTTTAAAGTTAGACTCCTTGATATCCTCATTATTCTTATTTTAATTCATTTCAACAAGTCAATTTTCATTTTATTTAATACATTTAACAACTTGAATTCATTTATATGACTAGTTGTACAATCAACCTTTTGAAGTTGCCAGTGAGCATTATTATTATTATTATTATTATTATTATTATTATTATTATTATTATTATTATTATTATTAAACATTTTTTAGGTAAAATTGATAAGATTATTTAGATTTTTCACCCCCATCATACCTGGAAAATGTTGCTTTTAATGATTTTTATTTTTGTCTGTGTTTGAGCAATATTAGATGTCTAATTTTGATTAGAAAATATAGGCCACGTTAAAATAGATTCTTTATGATAAATTTGAGGATTGTCAAATGTTCTAAGTCTGTTGATTATTATATTTTTTTGGGTCAGACATACATGAAAGTACATATGCTGATGTCAAATGACTGTAATTGTGCTATATATATATTTTTAGTGTTATATATTTTGAGAAATCAATTTACTGAAAATTTGTGCCCAGTTGAATGGTGAAACCTGCAGAATTGATTCCATGATTTGGTCACATTTCAGAAATACAAGCAGGGATTTATAGTAGACCCAGTAGTGATGGGCCCAGACAACACAGTGGCTGATGTGTGGAAAGAGAAGGAAAAATATGGCTTCTCTGGCTTCCCTATTACAGAAAACGGCAGAATGGGTGGGCGGCTGGTAGGACTGGTGACACAGAGAGATATTGACTTCCTCCCCCCAGAAAAGTATGACAGACCTGTTAAAGAGGTATGAAAGTGGGATAAGAAAGATATTTCAAGAAAGTGATTTTTATGATCTGCTTGTGTTAATTAACCTTTTTTATTTGAATTATCTTTGAGAAGTCAGAATTAGTATATAGGCCTTCATTTATGTTGTAATTGTGACCTTCATTCTTAGCCCCATCAATATGGAAATAAACACCATGATTATAGTGTGAAATTATTTTAGAAAAATTATTAAAGAAAAAGAGAATGTACATCCTGTCATAATGTCAGTCGAAAATTTGTAGGAAATTGTGACCTTTTTTTTTTTTAATTCATGATTATACTAGCATTTCACCCACAGGTCATGACCTCCCTAGAGAACCTGGTGACAGCCACAGCGGGGGTCACTTTGTCAGAGGCCAACAAAATACTGCAAGAAAGCAGAAAAGGTAAGTTTGATAATAATAGTAATCATTAATAACAAATAAGCATTTGTTTGTAGACTGTGATGTCATGAAAAACTTGTGGAAACAAATCAAAAACTGGATTAGGGAAGAAAAGGGAGCCAATGTTCATATTTGATTTTATTCTCGTAGACAATGAAAAAAATATTATTTCTCAGATAAAATACTACTTGAGAAAAAAATGGAGTTCATCTGTCCTTCAGGGACATTGAATGCTTTCTTTACTGGAAAATAATACTGTACTTTTCTATGTGTGCATTTTTTTCATACATGAAAATACTGAATATACAGTAGTTTTATGGCAGTGTGTGTGTGAGAGAGAGAGAGAGAGAGAGAGAGAGAGAGAGAGAAGTGAATTGACATTGTATTGTACATTGTAATTATTATTTCTTAAGTTTAATAAATAATAATAATAATAATAATAATAATAATAATAATAATAATAATAATAATAATAATAACTGGTATAGATTGAGTACTCATGTTAACATTTCCACTTGTACAGAATATTTATTTCATTCAAGGCAAGCTCCCCATTGTAAATGAGAATGGTGAACTGGTTGCTCTGATGGCCAGGACAGATTTAAAAAAGAGGAGAGAATTCCCTGTAGCATCCATGGATGACAAGTAAGTAGTTTGCACAGATGTTTTGTAAATGCAGATTCTCATTGCAGTGGTCACATTTAGAGTAACAGATTTAGATATGGCCCCTGTTTCAAAAAAAAAAAAATCTCAAGTCAGTTTTGTGGCTTAAATCTTTGTCATCTATGTTACAAAGACTGTGTGTGACTAAGTTGTTTCACAAATAATATAAAAGGCAGCTTACCTCATTTTATCTTAGCAATCATATCTAAGTCTCTACTGGAGCTGCCTACACTCTGAGTTAGTGAGCAAAGCTCAACTAAAATTTAGTAAATAAGAGCAAAATCAATAGAAGTTTTGATAGTACAAAATTGACTAAGGTAATTCTGGATGCTCTGTTTGAACATCCTGATAACACCTCAGATCAGGTTTTAACTATCTTCAGACAAACAAACCTGTGAGCCATCTGCATTGATGAAAATAAAATTTTTCAATAAAATAATGTTAAACAGTGTTTATAATCTGCCATAAAACATTGATAGATTTATTTGATAAGAAGGTAATATTTTCATCTATAGATAATGTGCAGTTTTTTTTAAATTTTTCTATTATAGATGTAAAGTGAATATGTTAAGTATATTAAGTCAAAAATCACTCATTTTGGCATAACCATGTCATTCCGTCACCATAACCTTGGTTGTAGTTACACATCATACAGAGTTTTAATATCATATTGTAACCAAAATTGAATTTCAATAAAAGTAATCTGTTATGAAGACCACATTTTTTTCTTTTTTGTCTTTCCCCAGAAAGCAGTTGTTGGTCGGTGCAGCTATCAGTACTCATGAAGAGGACAGGACACGACTGGACCTCCTTGTCCAGGCTGGAGTTGACGTAGTTGTGCTGGTTAGTGGATTCATTTCCATCAGAAATTATTTTGTTTAAAGTCCACTAGATTTCCAATTACATTTAATGAAAAACCTTTTTATAGAATGTTCAAGTGAAATCTGAACCATGATAGGCAAAACATAAAATTAAGCACGGCTATCACATTGACATTTTGACAAATAATTGTACCACTGGGGGATCCTTGGATTGGTCTGGAACTGCCCTGTTCAGCCCCCCCAAGACCTGGCTGTTGGGAACTAGTCTCCTGTATCACTCTTCTTCAAATACTACAAAGACCTATGCCTTCATCTTATGGAATTAGGACACCTGTTAGATTGTGGGATTGGATATGTTGTTAGAATGCTTCAAAATTAAATGTGAAATATCTCCCAAACTGAGGAAGATGTGGAAACAGGTTTGTATAGTAGTGTAAATGTAACTGTTTATATCAGATTTGACATTTTTATGTGTGTTCATTTGAAACGGTTTGAAGAAGGCATATTACATTTGAAGTCAATCTGCAATGATCTACAAAGGATATTGCTCTTAAAATCCTGGGTCCAGTTTCATCAACACTGGATAGCGCTATCCTATGGACAACATTATCCATTGGATAAAATTGTTAGCCTCTGGACTGCTATCCTGTGTTTAAAGTAATATCTCCTTAATGCTAGACAAATATTTTTGTTTCTGATGTTCCAGCGGTTAAAAATGACTGCTTTCTTCAGGACAACTGCCCATAGCATAGCAGATTTATACAGTGGACATTATTATCCATAAGATAGCGCTATCCAGTGTTGATGAAACTGGGCCCAGGTTGATGTTTACTTACGTCATGTTATGTGTATATATAGATAAAGTACAATATGAATATTTTTTTTAAGAAAGACATAACCATTAAGGCCACTATATTGGTATGGTACTGTCATCAATAAGTATTTGGGTTTCCAATGATTAAATTAAATTTGCTTTGTGTTCTAGGATTCTTCACAGGGCAACTCCATATTCCAGATCAACATGATAAGATACATAAAAGGCAACTATCCAGAGCTACAGATCATTGGAGGAAATGGTATGATGCTTTGATATACAGGATTTTATTGTTTCCTGTCTAATTGTGCTTGGGTTGTTTATAGATTGTTTGTAACAGCTGCATGTGTGCTGGAGATACCTTGGTTTTAGCCTGTTATCTAAAGCACTCTGCACTTACTGCTACTCCTTAAAAATGATGGACTTCTTCCTTGTTCTTTAAGACCACAAAATGTCAATTTGCCCTGAGAGGTTTAAGGGTCTGTCAGTGCATTTTCAGATGCCTTAGGCATTGTGCAAGACAACTTCGTCAAAGAAAAATTCAAATTTGGATGTGAAATGTCTCAGGAATCATATACTATAGATTGAACTTGAAATCAGTGTCATCATAGAGATGTTCAATTCAGACCTCGGGTTTAGTATTTGAGCTACTTCTCTGGACTGGTCAGAGTGTTTTTTATTTTTATTCTGGTAATTTACAGTCTTCACGAATAAATTTTTTAATTAGTGGACATTTGGTCCACCAAGACTGCAATTCCTACTGGACCGAACCAACTTTTACTGGACCAATTCTAATAATTTTTGTTTTAAAAGAAAATAATAAATAAGGCTGATGTTTTTGTACCAAATTTATTTA